CTAATTAGAGTGTGTGGGTTAGGTTCATGGGGAGGTGACAGATCCGAGTGTAGATGTTTTTGACCGCGAGAAAATCTTCATTGAAACAGTTCTGCAGCCTCTAATCCAACGCTTTCCACAGTTGAAGGTAGTAATGGAACACATCACTACCATGGATGCTGTGAAGTTTGTTGAGTCTTGCAAAGAAGGTTCTGTAACTATCTTATCTTTGATTCCTTTTCTTATGGATTTTGTTAACGTGCCTGGCTCATACGTTTTAGTTGGTTCTAGGGTCTGTGGGTGCAACAGTCACACCACAGCATCTCCTTCTCAACAGGAACGCTCTTTTCCAAGGTGGATTACAACCGCACAACTACTGTCTTCCAGTTCTCAAAAGAGAAATACACCGTATGTTCTTCATTTTCAACTAAGACATAAAGATTTAAATTTCTTACAGCTGTTTTCTGAAGATCATTGCTTTTACTTCGTTGTACAGGACAAGCCATTGTTAAAGCTGTAACTAGTGGAAGCAAGAAATTCTTCCTCGGCACAGATAGTGCTCCACATGAACGGAGTAAAAAAGAATCATCCTGCGGATGTGCTGGTATTTACAGCGCTCCCATTGCCCTGTCCTTATATGCCAAGGTCTTCGATGAGGTACACGTTCTAACTTCAAACTGTTTACTTTCCTGGGTTTGGAGTTTCCTTATGTTCATAGCTATAACTGCGTTAACATTCAGGCGGGTGCGCTTGACAAGTTGGAAGCTTTCACAAGCTTCAATGGACCTGATTTCTATGGCCTCCCGAGAAACTCGTCAAAGATCACACTGAAGAAATGTCCTTGGAAGGTTCCAGAGGTTTTCTCCTTCTCCTTTGGGGAGATCATTCCAATGTTTGCTGGAGAAACCCTCCAATGGCAACCGTTCTTCAACTAATGTGGTGGTTTGGAGTTGTCAATTTTTTTGTCTCCCAAATCAGAGTACCTGTTGTATCTTTTGGATCGGATTTTCTTACGGCTGAGAAATTCTCTGCATTTTTTGAGGAATAAAGCAAGATACTGACCAAGATTGCTTATTTAATGTTTAAATCTGTTTTTCTTTTCTCCATTGAATCTAATTGACAGTTTAAACATCAACCAGAGTGTGCCTGATTCCTACTCTTCCTGACGAAGATGTCCCGTTTTCGTTAACGTTAGGAAGAATTTCTGTTGGGTTAATTTTAGATGGACTCATCGGCCAAGGTATGTGTTCCTCCATATTCATCGATCCACCTAGATTCTGGTTTTGTCTAGACGGATCTGTGTAAGAGCCTTCCTCTCCAGTTTCACCATTGGTTATCATGTCCTTAGCTGTTAGCATTTGTCTAGCAGAATGATCCTGTAAACTGGAAGTCCCGTCTTCCTCAGAGGACT